CAGTTGTTAATAATCCGGTACGAGCTGTTCATGTCCCCACTGCTGAGAAGCCCGAAAAATTCAACGGGCTTGATTTCAAAAGATGGCAACAGAAGATGCGCTTTTACCAAACCACAATAAGTTTGGAAAAGTACCTGAAGGACGATCCTCCAGCCATTGATGAAAATGAAACCAATACTGAACTACGCAATGCGTACGAGGCTTGGATGCAAGGTGATTACCTTTGTTGTAACTATGTCCTAAACGGACTTAGGGACGAGTTGTAAAATGTGTACAGCTCGGTTGGTTCTGCCAAAGAACTTCGGGCTGCTTTGGAGAAGAAATACAAGACCGAGGATGCCGGGGCGAAGAAGTTCGTCGTCGTAAAATTTCTTGACTTCAAAATGGTTGACACAAAGACCGTTGTGTCACAAGTGCAAGAATTCCAACTCATCTTGCACGATATTCATGCTGAGAGAATGTCTCTGAGCGAGTCATTCCAAGTTGCGGCTGTAATTGAAAAGCTGCCGCCGGGTTGGAAAGACTTCAAGAACTACCTCAAGCATAAGAGGAAAGAGATGAGTCTTGAAGACTTGGTTGTTCGTCTTCGTATTGAGAAAGACAACCGTAATTCATCGGCGAAGACTCCGATGATGAAAGCTCGTGCTAATTTGCTGGAGCAAGGCAACTCGAGCAAGAGAAAGTCCCTTGACAAAGGGAATCCGCCAGGTAAGGTTTGGAAATTTACAGGTACTTGCTACAACTGTGGAAAGCTGAACCATATGGCGAAAGACTGCAAGAGGCCAAAGAAGGTTGTGCCAAAGAAAGGTAAACCGAGTGCCCTTGTGGCTGAACATGGCCCCGTGCCGGGTGAACTGACCGACTTTGATGTGGTGTTTGAAGCCAATATGGTGGATAACCCGAGGGAGTGGTACATCGATACTGGTGCCACTCGTCATGTGTGTTCCGATAAGGAGGTATTTTCTGAATACACTCCTGCTAAGAGTCGGAAACTTTACATGGCAAACTCCGCCACGTCTGATGTGGCTGGAGTAGGCACTATGGTGCTGAAGCTTTACTTCTGGAAAGGAGTTGAAGCTTAAGGATGTTCTGCATGTCCCAGACATCAGCAAGAATTTGGTCTCCGGATCTCTTCTTGTTGAGCATGGATTTAGGCTGGTATTTGATGCTAAGAAGTTTGTTCTTAGCAAGTTTGGAACTTTCCTTGGTCGTGGATATCTCGACAAGGGTATGTTCAAAATGAATGTAATGGTCGTGAGCCGTGTAACCGTTTCTAATGAGAATGAAAAGCCTATTTCTATTTATACAGTTGAGTGCTGTGATTTATGGCATGTTAGATTGGGACATGTAAATCTGAAAGCAATTAAACGGTTGATGAATTTAGAATTAATTCCTAATTCTAAAATTAAATCACATAAGAAATGTGAAATATGTGTTGAAGCAAAAATGGCTAAGTTGCCTTTTCACTCGGTGGAAAGGAGTACTGAACCATTGGGCTTGATCCATACTGATGTATGTGATATGAAAAGTGTGCAAACAAGAACCGGTAAAAAGTATTTTGTAACTTTTATCGATGATTGCACAAGATTTTGCTACTTATATTTGTTAAGAAGCGTTTAAAATCTATAAGACCCTTTTGATCTATAAGACCGAAGTTGAAAATCAACTCGGCAAGAGGATTAAAATAATCCGAAGTGATAGGGGTGAAGAGTATGTAGCTCCTTTTGATCAAATATGTTCTGAATATGGCATAATTCATCAAACAACTTCCCCTTATTCTCCACAGTCGAACGGTGTTGCTGAATGCCATGTTGATAAATTCGGGACTACCCCAAAACATGTTGGGGGAAGCTGTTTTAACAGCAAATCATATCCTGAAGAAAATACCACCTAAAGGGAAAGATGAGACTCCTTACGAATTGTGGAAAAATCGTAAACCGTCTTATAAATACCTGAAAGTGTGGGGTTGTTTGGCTAAGGTTTCAGTACCTGAACCAAAACAAATGCGAATCGGGCCAAAGACGGTCGATTGTGTATTTATTGGATATGCGTACAATAGTATGACATATAGATTTCTGGTTCATAAATCAGAAAATCCAGAGGTATCTGTTGGTACCACGGTTGAGTCAAGGAATGCTATATTCTTTGACAATGTTTTTCCTCTGAAGGAAAGAGCAGAATCTAGTTCTAATAAAAGAACGTATGAAACTGCTAGAGGTTCTGTGCCAGAGGGTACTGATGAAGAACTGAGACGTAGTAAAAGGGTAAAAACGATGAAAACGTTTGGACCTGATTTTATTACGTACATGTTGGACGATGAACCGAGTTCCATTAAGGAAGCTCTGTCCAGCCTAGATGGACCACTCTGGGAAGAAGCTGTAAATAGCGAAATCAAGTCCATTATGCAGAACCATACTTGGGAGTTGGTTGATCTCCCTGATGGTTGTAAACCTTTAGGATGCAAGTGGATCCTAAAGAAAAAATATAAAGCTGATGGATCGATTGATAAGTTTAAAGCACGATTAGTGGTCAAAGGCTTGAAACAAAAGGAAGGGTATGATTTCTTTGATACCTATTCACCAGTTACGCGTTTAGCGTCGATAAGAGTGCTTCTCTCGATTGCTGCTTTGCACAATCTTGAGATTCACCAAATGGATGTCAAGACGACATTTTTGAATGGTGAATTGGAAGAAGAAATATACATGGAACAACCTAAAGGGTTTGTTGCACCTGGACAAGAGAGAAAGGTGTGTAGATTGATCAAATCATTATACGGACTGAAACAAGCTCCTAAACAATGGCATTTGAAATTTGATGACGTGATGTTGTCAAATGAGTTCAAAATCAACGAATGTGACAAATGTGTTTATGTCAAGAGTACATCAAATACATTTGTGATTGTATGTCTATATGTAGAGGATATGTTGATCATGGGGAGTAGCCATGAAGTAATCATGGATACGAAAGGAATGTTAAAAAGAAATTTCGACATGAAAGATATGGGTTTGACTGATGTTATTCTTGGAATAAGAATTATCAGGACCCATGATGGAATTGTCTTGTCACAATCTCATTACGTAGAGAAAGTGCTCAAGAAATTTGATGTTTATGACGGTGCACAGTCTAGGCATATGTGTAAGACACCCCTTGATCTTAGTATAAATCTGGTAACCAATAAAGGTCAACCAGTGGCTCAGTTATTCACGGATAATAGGGAGTCTGATGTACTTGACGAATTGTACACGACCAGACTTGGCCTATCTGGTGAGTAAGTTGAGCAGATTCACGAGCAATCCCAGTCATGAGCACTGGAATGCTTTGAGAAGGGTACTTAAGTACTTGAGGTACACCCTTGAATACGGGCTAAAATACTCGAGATATCCAGCTGTACTTGAAGGGTACTGTGATGCAAGCTGGTTATCAGAATCGAGGGATTCTCACTCCACTAGCGGATATGTTTTCTGTATTGATGGAGGTGCAGTTTCGTGGAAATCCACAAAACAAACATGTATAGCTCGGTCAACGATGGAATCGGAGTTCATCGCTTTAGATAAAGCTGGTGAAGAAGCCGAGTGGCTTAGAAATTTTTTATCCGATATTCCATGTTGGGATAAGACTTTGCCGCCTGTGATGATTCACTGTGATAGCCAAGCTGCTATAGGTAGGGCGCAAAGCAACTTGTATAACGGTAAGTCTAGACATATTCGTCGTTGACATAATACCGTACGCCAATTGATCTCAAATGGTGTTATTTCCATTGACTATGTGAAGTCTAAGGAAAATTTGGCTGATCCTTTGACGAAAGGATTGAATAGAGATCAATTGGTAGTTTTGCTAGAGGGAATGGGCTTAAAAATCCACAATGTAAAGAATGATCATAGTGGTAACCCAACTTTGCTGAGTGGAGATCCCACGAACTTGGTTCAAAGGGAAAACTAAACTATGAAAATTCAGTTGAGCACTTGGAACATATGAATGTTCAAAGCTATTCCCTAGAGCACTCCAAGTGCACGATGACCTGTTGATTGTGGTGAGGGTAAGTCATGTGGACTTTTAATGAATCCCTAACCTTGTAAAGGTAGAGTATAGCAGGATACTTTTGATAGGGAGGTCACCTATGTAAGTGTGAAGTGTGGGCCGCTTCAATTGTAAACACTTATGAATCCATTGTGTTGTTCATGGCCAAAACGGACACAACGATAGAACGGAATGGAGTTAAGACTCTATTGTGTAAATATCATTGTCTCGGTGTGCACTATGGAAGAATAGTTCAAGGCATTATGTCCACTAGTCCGCCAGTGCATCCGATGATATTTACAAGGAACGGTTCAAAGCCAAAAGCTACCTTCTCTGATGCAATAGAGTGTTGTGAGGATTGAGCACAATAGTATATATATTTAAATTTACACTTTTGTGGGGGATTGTTGGAAAAAGTGTAAGGGGCGATTGTTAGCCGCCCCACTTGATTAATTAAAAAAAAAAAAATTGGAAGTTGAAAGTTAGGCAATTTGCCTAATTCAGCCGCCCGCCAAATGAATAAAATTGGCAAACTTTATGCCTATAAATAGGCTTATTCCGGCAGAAGGGAAATACAGAAGAAAAAAAGGGAATAAAGAGAAAGAGATAGAAAGAAAGAGATACAGAAAGAATTTTGTAATGATAAAAATATCAGAGAGAAAAATATAGAAATATTTATTTGTTGTCGAAATAACAAGAGGGTGATATTTTTATTTCTATTTTTTAAAGTGCTCAATTCTCGACTCCGTTCTAGTTCGCCGAAGCTCGTAAATCTGGTGTGCTACAGATTTAGAGACGATTGCCGTTGTATCTTTGGGGAAGTTACGCCTGAACCGTTAGCTGCCACACTGGGCGTATTCTTCTTGCGGAAAGAGTTTTACTCGCCTCGGCTAAAATCTTTCCGTTTTAATTTTTAAGGTTTAATTTATTTTTCAGTTGTAATTTTATTTTTCAGTTCAATTGTAATTTTATGTTTTTAGATTATTTGTAAGAACTGAAAAATTACAAATCAGTTCGTAGGAATCCCGTGTATTTTTATACCCGTATAATAACACCACTCACCGTCTTTCAGAATCTGGAGGCCCGCCACCTCATCATCCTGGAACAAGAGGATGACCCCACCAGCGTCTGTGTGGGCCCGAAGCCCATTTACCCTTACGGGCTGGGGGCACGGAGGGTAGTGGCTGACCTTAGTGCCGAAGAAGGCCTTGTCGCCGGTTTGGGCCCCGGAGATGAAGGCCCGATTGATGTAGCCCTTGGGCAGGCCCAAATTCTCATCCATGGTCTCCATGACTCGGACAGCTAGCTTCTTCAGCTTGAATCTGTACTCCTTCATGGTTTCCCTGTTTTATTGGAAATTATTAATTAATTAATTTTGGTCTAATGAATATTATGAAAAATAAAAATAATAAAATTAAATAAATGTAATTGTGCTTAATTACTTGAAGCCAGGGGTTTTGGTAGGCCACTGATCATCATTATCATCTGAGAGCAAGAAAACATCCTCCCAATCCACATTCTCTAATTTCTCATCGCTTTTTTTCTCGATTATTTCGTTCAAGAGTTTGGCCGGCTTCGAGTTCTTGAAATTCGGCTCTCTTTCCAGTTTGAAGCATTCAGATGCAACTCTCTTCACCTTCTCTAACAGCTCCTCAGAGATCCCATGGTTGATCAGCTGTCGATGGTCGAGTATTTGCACGGATAATATAATTCGTTTTTATGTATCATAAAAAAATATATATAAAATAAATTTAATTGAAAATATACAAATTAAGATGTACTTCATGTACAAATCATCAATGTGGTTTTATTATGCAATTACAACAACTAGTAATTATAACAAGTATAACAATAATAGACTATGTGTTGTTATTCTTTGTTACTGTTTGGCAGAACAAACGGTTAAACAGTCATATATAAATGAAAGTATGATTCATAACATATACATTTTTTATATTAAAATATGATGGGTCGACCCGCCTAACGGTTGAACCATCCCTCACAAAAAATTGTGTAAGCTGTCTATCCAAGTGTGTATATATAAATATAACAGTAAGAATAAAAGTAAAAAGTTACCTGAAAAAATCCCCACTCTTCACAGCAATAAGCAATCTGGGCCAGAGTCTTGGCTCTCTCTTCACCATCAATTACAGGAATAGCCATTGATTTAACTCTTAATTATTAGGTTACAAACTGAATAAGTGGACTTATTAATCACAAGAGAAACTTGAACTATTGTTATAGATGAGAAAAATAGGCTCACAAGTCAGAACTCATAAGTTGTTTACTTTAACTGATATGGTGATCGAGACTGAGCTTGAAGCCTATTTATATAGGAAGGTCAACCAGTATTCATAAATAGATAAATAAATTTATTTAATTATAAAATGATAGGTGCATGGCCATTGGATCATGTACACAACATTAATGAACAAAATAAATAAAATAATCGCATGGTCAACGTTTTATCTATCATTATACATTGTTAATCAGACTTAATACGTTAGATTAACAGGAGGTCGCCACATGGCAGCGTGCTGCAATTAATTATCATCTTATTGTGTAATAATGACTAGTGCGTATCTCATGTGATGCATGGATGAGCTCATATTTTAAACTATTTTTAGACTTTATTTTAAATATAATTGTTTATACTTTTCACATTTCATCTCATTATGGAAATAAAATAAATACAAATAATGAAAAACATATATTATGAAACACTTCTCTTTATACAATATTTTTTATTTAAGGAATATTATTAAACCTTGCAGTTTTGACTTTTTCCTAAATAAAATTAATTATCCAATCTATGATTGTTAATGTACAAAAAATAAGGGAGCAAATCCAGATTTTAAAGTAATTTTTTTTAAAAAAAAATTTTTTACAAATCAAAACCATCCAATTTCAATGTATACTTCATACCAATTTATTCACTTTCATATCCCAATTTCAATATATACTTCATTCCAATTTATTCAATGATCAATCAATATTCAAATTACTGATCAAATTAGAAGAGAAATCTAAATACTATCCTATATCATATTTTTTCTTTCTTATTTTATTTTTTTTATCGGACAATTAATAGAAAATTCTATTTCCATCATATATTTAATTATTATAAAATCAAATTCAATCTAATTAAAGCAACAATTTACAATTATTATAAAATCAAATTCAATATAACTAAAGTAACAAATTAGACAACACAACATTAGAAATTAGGTAGAAAATCTCAATTTACATCATCCCATCAGAAATCAGTAAACATATTGATTTTGTAGATTCTGAAGAACACAATTAACGCAAACAAAATAATGAAACACGATAACCTGCAAGCACCAAAAAACACCACAAACCAAAAACTTGATTCATAACAAAAACATTAAAAATTTCATTTCCTAATTCCTCCAGCTCCCACCATCTGAACCGCGCCACCACTCGAATACCCGAAATAAATATAACATCATGCGAACATCTAAATTGTAAGGTAAGTAAGTAAACTACCTTCAAAAGATTTAATATGACCGCTTGGACCTACATTGCCACAATGTTGTTCTATGGAAGGAAGTAGACTGCTTAGAAGCTCGGCACGGTTTTTTTGGTGTCGTAACGGTCGCCCCAATAACAGCCGCCCCTGTAGCCACCTCCACCATTCCTGCCACTGCCTTCACTTCCACCTCCATAGCCACCGCCATTGCCAGGGGCGGATCTAGGTCACAAATTGAGTGGGGGCATAATTTTTTTAAATATAATACATAATAAAAAACTAAATACATAATACACCTTGTTTATAGCTATTCTTTTGAATTTTCTTATCTTGATATGGCTTTATAATAACATCTTTAAATTTTTTATTGCATTTTCTTTTGGCCTAAAAATACTAGAATCCACCGGAGATATATTTGGACTGAAACTAGCTCATTTTGAGATATTTTCACATGTCAAGGCATTTTTAAAAATATTCTCCATAATTTGATATCAAATATAAATTACAATTAATGTATAAGATACTTTATGTAATATATTAAATTTTTACGAGCCCTACAATTTAAGTTATCAATCACACACACATTTTTATGAGCCCTACATCTCATCTCATTATGGAAATAAAACATATATTATTAAACACTTCTTTACACAATATTTTTTGTTTAAAGAATATTATTAAACCTTGTTGTTTTGACTTTTTTTTTTTAAATCAATTATCTAATCTATGATTGTTAATGTAGAAAAAATAATGAAATGAATCCAGACTTTAAAGTAAAACTATTTTTAATTTTTTTACAAATCAAAATCATCCAATTCTTTTAAGCACTTTCATATCCTAATTTCAAAGTATGCTTCATACAAATTTATTCAATGATCAATCATTATTCAAATTACTAATCAAAATAGAAGAGAAATCTAAATATTATCCTATATCATATTTTTTCCGATTTTTCTAACGCTCAGTTTCAACGTTAAAAAATGAAACAATATACTTGGGCTAAATAAATTTGATTTCTAGAACTTAAAAATCGAACGAATCCTCCATGACTTAGATTTAGAATTTATTAACCAAATTAAATGAAAATAATATTAATCAGATGCATCAAATAAATAAATAAGACTCGCAATAAATAAAACTTGCTATTTATGGTATTAAAGTCGAGCTCATAAATACTAAAAATTTTCGGGGTGTGACAAAATTGGTATAAGACTTTTGTTAAATTAGAGGGTTTGAATTCATATAAAATAGGTATCAGTATTAATTATGCTAAATTAGAGGGATTGAATTCTATTTAAAGATAATTGATTAATTAAATTCATTAATTTTTGTTCTGTAAAAAATTGCTGCTAATTGAATTCGTTAGTAAATTAAATTACTACAATCAACTACAAATTATACGCTAATTGACACGTGTTGAGGTATCTTTACTTTCTACAAAACTAGTGTACTGATGGGCTTGTGATTTATCACATAATATTTCTCTAAAGTTCAGCACTCGTGCAAACAATTATCTTCTATTTTTAGTATTATAAAATAAGGAAAATGCTCACATGCCCACTGTGAGCACATGTTAATATGCCCACTAACTTATATGGCATGCACACATTGGTGATGTAATTTTTTAACATATTAACATCACCAATGTGTGCATGGCACATCAGCGGTGAACATATTAACATGTGCCCACCGTGGACACGTGAGCATTTCCCTATAAAATAAATCACCTTTCGTTGCTAAGTGGGATTCATAAACAGTCAAACTTCTAAACGACTTTCCAACTTTTTAAGACCACCCTTCAAGACGTGAACTATCCATATCCGAAATATGTCCAAATTAGGCTTGCGCCCGATCCTCAATTCTAGGAATAGAACACACCGATTAGATATATAGAACCACATATAGAAGGTACGTCGTTGTTTATATGGAATAACCCCAAAAATAAATTGGCTATTCTTAATAATTCATGATTAACTTACCTAACCAATTTTCTAAGAGTTATTATTGCACTCCATGTTATTTGTGTGTACCAGTGGTTCAGTCAACTGAGATTTGGATCTCACCCTCCGATAAGCAACTCTTTTAAAGTTTCCCAAAAGGTTTTCATCACCATGATCAAGTTACTATGTTTTTCATAAATTTACTCCTCGCTTCTCTATAATTGTCTAATATCTTTGAATTTTCAAAAATACCCAAACTTGTGGCGTATCACTTAAAATTTTAAATGTCCATTTGTTTCAAATAATTTTATACAAAGAAAACAATACTCGAATCCGCTAGACAAAATTTCCTTTCTTAAAAAGATTAATGCAGTTAAGTATATAGATGTATATAAAATAGTACAACACTATTGTGCAACTTTTTTTTTCAAAAGATAAACATAAAATTCATATTTCAAAATTCTAAAGACATGTTTGAGAATTACACTATCATATTAATTTAAAGTGATAGCCATATGCGTCAAATAATAATTTTCTAACCAAACCATTTTAACACTCGTGTTTTACAAAAAATAAAAATAAATAATAAAAATAAAAATATTAAAAATGTTATGAACTGTTATAATAATGTGCATAAGGTGCACGAGGAAATAAACTATTATATGTGAATGACTATTTTGTCCCTGATGTAATTGTATTATTACGATTGTGCCATCAGAAGTTTTCCTATATAAATAGGAGCTTCAGTCATAATGAAATTACACCTACGAGAATACATTTTCTCTATTATCTCTCTTTTCCCTTTAGTTTTATAACACGTTATCAGCACGAGTCTCTGCCCTCTAGAGCTCAATTTGTAATATGAGAAGAGTATGCTCTACAGTTGCGTCTTATAGACGATCTTTTGTATCAGAAATTCGATTATTACTTATTGTTCTTCTGATGTTGAATAAACTCCATCCGAAAAAAAAAATTTTTGATCTGATCATTTTCATTACTTCAAGCTTTCCCAAGAACAACCATAATTAAGCATCCTCTTATTTTGGTCCTTGAAAAATGTATTCATTTACATATACCTTTTGTGGGTATATACAGTTGCAGATAAAAGAGAGCAGAAAAAAAAAAGGGAACAAGTTTATTAAAAAAAATAATAATAATAAAACAAAATAAAAAATAAAAAATAAAAATATAGTGGTTGAGAGAATTTAGAAATGGCATACACTTATCAGTAGAATTTGTTGAAGGCTAGTAAGCTCTTTCAAGAACACACATAGAAATAAAAAAATGGAAGTTGGTTTGAATTGGAGAATGTATTTTCTTCAAAGATTTGAGCGAGCATATCTCTCTTTTGATCATGGATAATGATGACCACTTGCTGAGCATCCATCAGCCCCCATCAATAAAATTACAACAAGCTGAGACGACGAGAACAGCCGGATCAAGATCGATTGCAACGAGTGTGCTATTGGTGGAGACCAAGTCCGACGACGCCGTAGCGGATTACAGCGAATTCTCGCAGACATGCTTCTCACCCCCGATGATTTTGGGAATAATTGGATATGTAAGTTTCTGCATCTCAATCGTTATCATCATCATATACATTTTAATACATTCACAAAATTGTGTTTTTAAATCTGGTATAGATTTGTGTGCCGCCCACAATATACCTGAGTCAAAGAAATCGATAAGCTACAAGTTTATTTTTCTTCATAAAATTATCTGGACTTTTGTGCATGTGAGACATTAGTGCTCAAGAGACGGTGACATTTATTTAATTGGACTTTTATTGCGTGAGTAGAATTATGAAGAGCAATTTGAGGGGGTGTGGGGACATTCACATATTTTTATAA